ACACTCCTCCTACCACTCTAAGCCGAGTACCAAATTATCGAGCCTTATTCCTTTGATCATGGACTCTGTACATGAAAAATGCTCGTTTTTGAAAAATTATGAACTTGAGATGGATTTTATGCAGCTCGATAAAAAAGCTATTTATTCGTACTCAACCCCCATACCATGTTTGGGATCACTGTATCACAGGAATTCTGCAGAACGAAGACCGTGAAAACCCAACAACAGATTCATAAGAACAGGTATTACCTTGAAGACAGTTATTGACGACAATATTACTATTCAAAAGTCCTGATTTCATAAATCGCGACGGTTGTCCAAATGGAGAGGGGAAGTGGGGTGCCAGGAAGCTGCTGCAAGTTCTGGATCGAATGATGGCCACCCTTGCTTGGACGGTCATCGCGTACGTATCACGCCGACACCCGGTTCAAAGCGCCTAGAAACATTCATCAATTTCAGACGACCACAAACCTGTAGAAAATATGAAAAAATGTCAGAGCGCAAAAATTTGCAAAGGTAGGACCAATGATTGGGAACTTACTTTTCATTCATGTTGCTGTGATTTCCCCATTGATTCGCTTCAGGATCAAAAACTTCAACTGTTTCTTGGTCGGCGCCTCCACGCCCACCCACAGCATAAAGCCTATCGTTGACAACGGCCAATCTCATCTACAAACAGAACCTTTTCTTGCTTTTCACTCAAAAGGAAACAATTTTTTACAGAAATGGAAGGCTGCACAAAAACTCACTCCAACTCGAACTTCGTTCATGTCAGCCACTGAAGTCCATTCATTGATGCGAGGGTCGTATTTCTCAACCGTTTTCAATTGGCGATGAGCCATGAGATCCTCCCGCTGCATACAAGTATCCATTTATCACAGCAGATCCTAGACGTTCTCGGCATGTTGACATGGGACGAACCGCTTCCCACTTACCAACTCGTGGGTCAAGTCTGAAACGAGAGCGCTGAATTGTAGTTTGCAATAGTATTTTGCTTACTCACACCAAACAAACATCATTTCTCTGGTATGCATATGGTAGCGCTCAGGAATATGTTTGTTTTGGACCACAGCGTTCGCCAAAGGGCGCTGTTCCACGTGAAGACAAGTGCGCACTCACTTTCGAGGACGGTTCTTATCATGCGCGCGGTGGATAGGTCCACAGCTGCAGAAGCTTGCCACATTCTTGGATCACTGCCCCGAAAAGCTTATTCGGTCCATCGCAAGACAAAACGCACGCATACTCACCTCCGAGTGCTCCCTAGCATATGTGAGGCTACCAGGGCCGCAACTGTCAAAGCGTAATAGCTTCCTCGCGCGAACTTAACTTGCGCGGAATTGGCTAATTCCTCCATGCTCCGCCTAAAAAGCAGCAAGTTGCGGAGCAGAGCATGCATGTATCTGTACCGACCGGCGCCGCAGAACGCATGTCTCATGCGAGCGGCGCTACTGACCCTTCGCCAAGTCTCGTACTTTGCCCCTTCGAGTGCGATTAAAATGCAAACTCTTGATGCGGCGGGTGAGAATTGACGCGTTGCTCATGCTGCAGACTCTGAATCAGATGATAACGGCTAGAACAAAGAGCAATTGGACTGCAATAGCAGTGAATTCTAGTAGCAGCGAAGTCCAGCTCTAGTCATCGTCGGGAAGAGGAACCAATCCCTTCAACAGTTAAGGGGCTATTGGCCTCGCAAATGCCAGGAAGGCACCTTGCAGGCGAGCGTGCGTTTTGCCTTCAAAGACGATTCCGTGTTAAGTGTAGTTGGTGTTGGTCATGAACCAGTTGCCCCTGTGTAGCTCCCCAGTAGAAAAGGGGCGAAAAAACCTCAAGAACAACCTAAACGCAAACATCCCCCAGCAGTGGGGGCGGCGCCTCGGATGGGCGACTTCTCTAGCCTGCCGCAATCGCGACCTGATTGGTGTCCCTCAGCGTTTCGTTCTGCATTGCTTGTTTGAACATTGTATTTTATGTAATGTTTTTTTGTATGCTTGGGAAAAGAAAAGGGGTCTCGGGTTAACATTTCGTTTGCAAGCTCTTGCCTCACATTCACTGCAGAATCAAATAATCGGAGTGCATAAAAATCAGTGATGGCAAAGTGCAGAAGCGCCGCGCGCGACACGTGCTGCGCGGACGTTGTAGGAATAGAAGCTTGTGAGCCGTTGTCTCGTACAGCTACAGTATGATGTTGCACGCGTTGCAACGCTCACGTGTCTCTAACTTCTTTATCTCGCCGTTTTGAGGGACGAAAGTGGTATGTTCTCTGTGAACGCGTATAACATTTTCAAAAGCACGGAGTCATTTCTGAGGACCACTTAATCGCGGGAAGTCAAGTGGCGGAATGTCGTCAAAGAATTGTGGTCAAAAGCAAGATCTGCATCCATTTTCGACCCTTACCACCACAGGCACATTTATCTCATAATTTTGCTGTTGTCTACGAATAATATATTATTCATGTAAACATAGTCCCACCATGAAACCAAAGAAACCTTCAACGTGATGCATCGAACACCTGCTAATTCACCTTTCCACATAATTCAAAGATGAGACGTCATCGCATCCTCCAACGGCATATAAACAGCCGTTGAGTATGGAAAGGGAAAGCGCATGTCGACATGATCGCATTGGTGTCATATAGGTCCACTCATTTAACCAAGCGTCGTATCTATAACGGTTCCGATATCAACATTAATACAAAACCGATACCAACATAAACAAAATCTGGTTAGATTTCCTCTTACCGTTCAACAACGTTGAGAAACTTCGTACCATCATGGCCACCCACTGCATAAAGAAATCCATCACATTCGGCGACAGCAAGGCGGCTGCGTGATGTGAGCATTGGAGCAACATCTCTCGCCCATTGGTTTGTAGCAGCATCATATCTAAAGCACATTCTGCGATCGACTTTCTTGTAGTCTTGGTATCGCACCTACTGTCATATAACCGAAGCGAAAGAGAACAATCCTGCGCTTAAAGTCAATCGTGGATAGCTCCGCGACTCTAATGTCTTCTTGTGAAGCCTACTTCTGAAGACTAGCTCGAACTGTGCTACTGGCCGGTAAAGCGTCCTTCATGGTGTTTTCCCCGATTTGCCTCGGCTTGTTCGCAATCGTTTACTTGACAGTCTGTGCGACACTATCAAGTTGTATGCTCATTCAGCCGAAAAGGCGATTGCATGAAAGTGGAGGAATGCTTTCGTTGCTAAACCTATGGCAGCGAATATGGGGGCTAGACGAGGCATCCAACAGAAAGAAATAGTGTACAGTCGTTATCCGGGCAGTTGATGAGGCGTCGATGGGTCGTAAACGCGGCTGCAGCAGCGACAGCGTACGTAGGAACTGTTGGCAGCGATCAGCCTTTTCCGGCCCGTTTAGTCATTTTCTCCCTACTTTTCACTGTTTTTGGCTGCTTTTCTTTAGGTTAGTTGTTCCTTGTCTTCACAAGGTGAATTATGATTGAGATTTCTCTAATTTCCGCGAACAATTAATAATTAAACAAACAATTAAAAAATCGCAAAGCACTTCATCAAAAATCCACATAAGAACATACCTCATGAGACAAAAAACTTTTCTCAAAAAAAGGAATTACAGTGAAAACCAAGGAGAAAATTGCTAAAGCAGCAAGCAGCAAAGCAGCTGGTCGCTGCGGTCGTGACGCGCCGCGGCCGCGCTACGACCCTCTGACCGAATAATCAGCTGCCCGGATGACGACTGGGTGTGCACATATAGTTTGGGATGACCTTATAATTACTTTTTCGCACCTCGGCATACTTGCCAGTGGGATACCCCCGCTTAATTGCTTACGCTGACTGTGACCTCTCATCAAGTTACTGACTATGAGTTAAGTGAATAAGATAAGTGAAGAGTCATATAGAATGAATTTTCAAATGGGTGAGTATCCCACTGTGTATAATTCGCTAAGTTTATTTGTTGGTGTGTGGGTGTTTTTTTTGAGGAAATCCATGAATTCCTTTGATTCAGCCGGAGAGAGTTCGAATTGGTAAGTGATACGGGGGAGGGGGGGGGGGTGGACGGGAACATGGATGATGGATGATGGGTGGCAGGAAGTGATAACAGCTGACATGGGGTCTTAAAAAGGGAGGGTCACCAAGTTCATAACTTGCGCTGCAGCTGTGGAGCGTTGATTCCAAGAAGTGACATAGGGGGTTGGATATGAGCCTCATTGGTGGGTGGCAGGAAGTAGTATTAGCTGACAAGGGACAAGGGATTAAGGGATGATAATGGGTGTTAGGTGGTCGCCAAGTTCATAACGTGGGTTTCAGCATCGCTGGGATGTTTAGTCCTAAGAAATGACATAGTGAACGTATGGGTCATGAATATTATTTATGGGTGGCAGGACGCATTAAGAATTATTATGATCTGAGAAGGGAATCTGAAACTCAAGCGTCGCCCGTCACAGTAGCAGCAGGAAATTGGTTCCAATGAGTGATATAGTGGATGTTATTACTGATGGGTCACAGAGAGGGATAACAACGGATAGGGGCAGATAAGAGGCGTTACCCTCTTCCACACTACCGAATCATAAAGATTTTGTGGTAATGGATCACGGGTGACAAGGGATTATATCCTGATGGGCGTAAATAAGAGATAAGAGCTTATTTCCTCCCAATTTTTTACCACTATACTTCTATATAGGTTCACCGTAGCCAAGTATACAGCACCTATTGTTTTACTGCACGTCCAACCAACGGGAGGGGGGGAAGGGTAGTTCACGTGAGGTCTACACCACAATCAAGAAAAGAATCAGCGATAATTATACGAGAAAGAAAAAACTTAGCATTAATCGCGATTCACTATGGTAAACATTTCGCATTTTTTTCGCGCCAGGCGCGCAGTAGTGTGCGCCAGCCAAACTGGTGTTTCAATAAACCAAGTAATGAGGTTTTTATTCATTCCATATCTCGTTATTCTGTCTTGAGTGAGCCTGGCAGTGAGAGGTCACCAGTCAGCGTGCAAGCAATTAATCTGGGGGTATCCCACTGGCAAGTATGCCGAAAAGTAATTATAAGGTCATCCCAAACTATATGGTCACTCCCATGACGACTGCATGGTCATGACCCGTGACCTTACAGTCTTACTCGACTTTTGTATGGATCGAAACCGAAAAAAAATAAAAACCAAAAGTCTAGTGAAAAGCTATGAACCACCTATGGACAAAGTTATGGCTCATGACTGTCTCGAGCGGAGATACGCCACATACATCTAGTCGCTAATGAAACCAGTTTTTACCATTTTGTAACGTATTTAAAAAGATCTCAACAATCGGCCGCTCATTTTCCGCAGATGAGGCACTACCTCTGTCACAATATCAATGAACGTTTCTCTAAATATTTGTAGCGGTCAAGTTTGCGCAATACCTTTCAGTGCTATTGAGTGGTTCGCCATGGAAGCCTCCAACAGCGTAGAGAAAATTATTGAGAACACCAACACCAACTCCTTCCCTAAAGCAGGGCTCGTTGTTGAAGATCTTAGTTATCGTTAGGTGTAGTACCTTTGTCTGCTCATGGGGCAAACGCTTTGCCACGCGGGAGTCGTCTCTTCCGGGTCCAAGCGTTCCACTGACATGAGTATATCTTTATTGCACAATCCGCCCACTGAAATGCACAAGAAAGGAGTAGGATACAACTTACAAGAACAACAACGACAACAACAACAACATGCGTACAAGGAGAGACTTGCCTTCCTCTAATCTCGCCAGGTTAAACAAGAGTCTGACCATGTCTTTAGCATATCTTGTTTCGGCACACAAATGAGCCTCAGCCACTCGTTCTGCCCTCTTTCTATTCCGAAGTAGAGTGGAGCGCCAAGACAAGAGTGATAGCTTCCCAGTCAACAGCTTCCGCCGAGCACTGCTCATGCCTGCGCGTCAACCTCTTGTTCACCATGCCGGCCTAGCTTCACCAGCCGCTCATCTTTTAGGAGAGTTAGGTGAAAATATGTCAACTAATCATAAGGTGATTCCAGATGGAAATGTAGAAAGAAAAGTTTCGAGCAGCTTCATATCACTCATATCAAATGGTGTACCTAATTCCTGTCCTTTCCGTAGTATTCTTGAGAGACTGTACCTGACCGATATTGCAACGCAAGGGCAAGGGTGCGTCACACGGGAAACCTGGAGCTCACCATCGACAGGTATCCGACTGAGCCCCTCCCTTCTGCTTTCAAACTGACTGCGACCAACCTCCTCTGAAGCATTACCAGGGGTGTGTTTGGCTCCACAAGAATTGCAGATTTTTGCGTTTCAGTTGCACAATATCTCTCCTCCCGTCGACGTCCAGCACAGGGCACATATTTGTTGGGGATACCCCAACAGGGGTCGCATTTGGCCGCTGGGGGAGAAGGGGAGGGGGGTCGTAATTAGGCCTTCACTCAGTAACGAGCCGAAGGTGTTAGTATACTAGTCCTGCATTACGAATCTTGCTGCACAAAACTTTCATTAACTGAACTGGTCCAAACTAACTAGAAGCATTAATAAGTTGGCATAAGTAATGCGACACTTTGACCAAATTTTTCGGACTAAATTTTCCGTCACTAAAAGACATCTCCAATCTACAAGGTAACCGCAGTTGATGACTAGGACTAGTGCCCTTCTTTTGCACAGCTTCTCATTTCCATTCTCATAGAACTACGGCAACTATGATAAAAAGAAGAGGTGGACCTCATTCTCGAGTTGAGGTCGATTTTCGGAATTTTTGCTTTTTGAAGGATGCGATAGGGACCAAAGGAGGTGGTAATTAGAGGCTGCTAACTTTGTTAAATAACCTGGGTACGGTCGCATTCTCTGATCGAAATCCATGATCTTTTGGCGTAGCCTGATCCCCACATGCGGTCTTCGCATTGCCGAGTAGTAGAGAAAAATTGAGTATTTCTGAATGAATTCAAGCGTGACGTCATCCATATTTTGAAGTCGATTAAGGTGGACTGTGGTCCTTACAACGGTGCTAGTATCCAGTGATACCGCTTTGAAGTCCCACCAATAACACACTGAAATCTTTATCCCATGCACATCTGTTTTTGGCTGAGCAATTACGCAAGGACTCCAACACTCGCTACCAACCACAAGATCTCATAAAAGTTCTTTCGCTGTGTACAAGGAAAAGAAAACTCAGTCACGGTCATTCGGTATATGACTTGTCAGATGCCCGGCCGATTTTATTCGTGAGGATGCCTCATAGTTGGCAGGGATGAACAACTCACGAGGCCTTCACAAAAAATTTTTCCGATAACCGAGATTGCGGAGAAGAAGCAGTTGTCAGTCAGGTGGAGCCTAGAGAGGTTGCCAACTTACTGGTGGTTACCTTCGGCTGCGCCTCAAGAAGCTTGAGTAAAGGGCCGTCATTCTGTGCTGGTGGGCGACCTATACATTGCCTAACTACGAGTTAAATAAGTCCAGCCTGGAAGCGCTGATGCAAAAGCTACCCTCTGCCATGGCAAGCGATATCCTTCCTCAAGACAACGTAAGTGTTAGCTTCCTCGACTACGGCGGAGTAGCTCTACAGGAACTCATAATATGGGATAAGTTTAAAGTCATGATATACCCATGCGCAGAAACCTCCAGAGGACAGTCTCCACTAATCAGGGATAAAAACATCCAAAATGATTTTTGGTCTTTTTCTAGAACAATTCAATCAAAGTGTCGCATTACTTTTCGAACAACCTAATACTTGTACCTGTCGTCAAAATCCGTACCCTAAACCTTTTAAATTTGGCAACGTGAACCAATACCGCTTCGAAGAGCGACGACAGCGGTAACACCTCTTAACTGTCACTGTCAGTCGACATCTTTTCTTATCACTCAGAAATAAGGTGCCTGACTCGCATCTCACATCCCATTTCCCATTCTTCCAAGGACCCCTCCCCAATGCGTCCACGGAGAGGGGGGAATATGGAGGCTAACTTAAAACATCATTACACTTCATCAGAAATAGTTGAAATGCAGCGACTACTAGGAGGCAGGGTAAGGTAAAGAGGTACAGAGTGGGCAGAATTACTAGTGCACCTGCATGCTTGAAATTTTTTGTTTCCTCAATTTAAAGACACACGGTACGTTCAAACACATTGAGGGTGTATGAGACTATCAGCATTGAGGGTGTATGAGACTATCAGCCCCCCAGCTGTCGATGTGTCGTGGTCCCCCCGCCCAAACATGCCCAGGAATGGAGATACAGGACCGTGAAACACGCTAATTCCTCCATGCTCCGCCTTACACCTTTTGCGGCGCAGATTCCCGTCCTTCATAACATCCGTTGCAAGCGCGCGTGTCGCGTGCGGCTCCTTGGCACTTTGCCAAGTCCTTTAATTGCGCTCTCAAATACGAGTAAAACGCAATTTCCTGATGCGGATAACATTGGAGGTGCTACAAAATAAGAACAGAAGATGATGACAAGGGCCAGAACTCAAGAGCAACTCGGCTGCATCCGCAGAATCCATCAGAGGCCGCGCATTCCCAGAAAACATGAGAATAAAAACAATCCAAGCGTCCCACTCGTTTATTCTAAGTATTTCTATGGCTTTGGCGCCGGATTCGCGCCGGATCGTAGAAATTTACAGGCGATTTCAACTAATTTGCCTTTCCTTGATTTTTTTCATTTTGTTTTATTTACATTTACATCGTTGTGCTTCATTTCTAGCCTGTGTCATCTTCATCTCCTTGTACATGGATTTTGAAGCATGAGCAACACCTAAAATTTTATTCGCATCAGGAAATTGCGTTTTGCTTGTATCAAACTAACGAGTATGCCGTTTTATTTTCATGTTTCGTGGAAATACGCGGCCTCCGAGGGATGTTGCAGAAGTGGCACAGTTGCTTTTAAGTTCTGACCCTCGTCATCATCTTCTGTTCTTATTTTGCAGCACCTCCAATGTTATCCGCATCAGGAAATTGCGTTTTACTTGTATTTGAGAGCGCAATTAAAGGACTTGGCAAAGTGCCAAGGAGCCGCACGCGACACGCGCGCTTACGACGGATGTTATGAAGGACGGGAATCTGCGCCGCAAAAAGGTGTAAGGCGGAGCATGGAGGAATTAGCGTGTTTCACGGTCCTGTATCTCCATTCCTGGGCATGTTTGGGCGGGGGGACCACGACACATCGACAGCTGGGGGGCTGATAGTCTCATACACCCTCAATGTGTGTGAGCGTACTATGTGTCTTTAAAGGCTTAGAATATTTAGCTTGTATAAACTGCAGTGAATACACATTGATATAAAATGTGTGGAATGGAAGTAAAACTGTGAGAACGGCATACCATCATTGAGGATTCCCACACGAAAGAATTGCACTTCTGTGTGGGAGCCTGATACATGACGCACCCATAGATGAAGCTAACGAGCAACCATTGCCTACTCTTCTGTTCCACGAAGAGCTCAGTTCTTGAATACATTACTGGATGTCCAAATACGCTCACTTACAGTAGCACAGGAGAAATTTGCTTTTCGAGCATCTCCATTTCCCCACTGAATTCCAAGCGCATTTATCTCACAGCCCGGGAACCACAAAAAGAAATTGTGTTTTCATAGGTAAATCTTCCTTTTTCCCAAAAGTTCCAATTTTGCAAATATTGAAACTTTCAGTTCAATACAATGGTTGCACAAGGTAGGATATTAACATCGTTTGAAGCACAAAAAATAGCATTTGCGAAAAAGGAAGAAAATTGTCTGAACGATATATTTGAGACTATAATTCGGGGAAAATTTCTGTTGAAACTTCGTTGTCTGTTGAATGATCGTGACTTGTCAATGCATGCAGGGTAAACACCAGCAAGCTAGGATCAAGGGATGATACCTTCGCAACAATGAACCGTTCGAGAGACAGAACACCGTAGTAACAATAGGGGATTGTTGTAACCATAGCATACCAACATATAACACATCATGAAATCCAAATAAATCACGAGGACGAGTACGCGGTCCCTGCATATTTGGCGCAACTTGTGTAGACAGTTGTAAAAGCTGGAAATTCTGAAACGATGGACAACTAGATGTAGTTGGAGTAGTGCTCCGGTGAACGAAATCAACCTTTGCTTCGTCGAGAAGATCTCGACAAATGGGATTTGCCTTGACCAGCGCCTCTTCGCTGACTGTGTTGACCAGAAATTTTGGAGAACAAAGTGGAAGTCGCACATGCTCCAGCAGCTGCAATATCCTTATACAGTACAGAACAGGGAAGGAACATAGCTCTACCTTCGAGAGGAATTCTTCCCGTACTGGTAAATCGACCTTGATCCATTGGAACACTGCAGCAAAGACCTTAACGAATACTTGCTGGTGTTTTCTCGGAGGAACGAGAACAAAAAAAGTCATAAGCAGAAATGCAATCTTATTTTCAAAAGAAAAAAAGCTTCGCACCTGTTCTTCCGACTGGACACGGAGCTGATCACTTGAAATAATCTCAATCAGCTGCTTAACGGGTAGTTGATAGAACTCCTCAGAGTTGACAACAAACTTCAAGTGGCAGATTAGAAAATACACACTCTAAGGTTACCATGGCAAAACAATGACCTCAAAATTATTCCAGATGTACTCATTAGCACAGCCAAGAAGATTAGGACGTGCGTATGTATCAGCA